CCACAAAGGGCACGCGCGCACACACTTGGTTAAGAAAAATCTAATTCTAAGGATATTTGCCTCCTCTGCTCTGTCGGCACATAACTAACCGGAAACGTCAAAAGCACGTTCATCTAGGACTCAAGAGACTGAAGCGAATGCGTTTGACAGAAACAGGATGACATCGTTCTACAGCTTTGACCAAAGAATCTGTAAAACGGACAGAGTTATAACAAGCGGTGTGTTTGCAAAGGTGGCGACTCAAAGTTGACAGAAAAATCGTCATTTTCCGTTTCCGTCTCACTCTGTTCCTAAAGAGAATCCCTATAAAAGCCATTCTTCAGCAATTTGGACGTCAAACTCACATCCCATGTAAATGTGCACAGCTTACAAATCTGTATTCTTGATCATGCACATTATTCCGCTGCTTACTTCCACCTGCAGTGTTGGCAGTCTGACCTTGGAAAACACAAAAATGACTAGAACTCAGAATGTTACAGATAATGAGCTAAAAGTTGGTGTGATAGTAGCTGACAAATATACGGAGCGTGTATGGAATTAGGGGGTAGCATTAGCTACATTGGATAACGAAAACAGTTTGTACAAATAGGTACTAACAAATCAGAATTATTAAATATAACTTGTGGGGTTCCACAGGGATCAGTGTTGGGCCCCAAAATATTTAATTTGTATATAAATGACATATTCAAAGTATCAAACCTGCTAAAATACATTATATGTTCAGATGATACTAGCAATTTCTGCACTGGAGAAAACATCCAACAACTCTCTGACGTGGTCACAACAGAAATGAAAAAAAACTAAAGCATTGGTTCAAAAACAATAAATTATCACTAAATTTAGATAAAACAAAATTCATGACATTTGGAAACCGCAATAAATAGGAAACCAATGCAATCAAAATAACTTTCGACAGTGTTGATTTAGAACGAATCCATGAAATCAAATTTCTGGGTGCCATATTGGATGATAAATTTTGCCAGAAACCACAGATCTGCAAAAGTAAAATCTAAACTAGACAAAAGTGTTGCTGATTTGAGGACAGTAGGATTTGTTCTGGACTACAAATCTCTGTTTATTTCATATAATACTCTAATTGTACCAGATTGGAGTTATTGTGTGGAAGTATGGGGCAATACATACAAAACAGACTTACAGCTGTACACAATACAAAAAAAGAAATCAATCAGACTGGATTAATGTTCAAAATATGAAACCGTCAACTTCCACACAATAGTCAAAAATGTTTTGTGACAGAGAAGGGGGTTATAATTTAATAGGAGAAGGAAATAAAAAAATTAAAAAAAACAGTGCATCAGAACAACCAAAAAGAGTTTTTGTAGATCTATGGAATGGATTAAATGATGAGCTCAAAGTACAAATATAAACCTGCTTAAAAAACTGTATAAAAATGAGCTTGTTGAAAAATATGTTGTATAGGATGGGCGTCTCAAAAACCAAAAATTATATTATTGGTATTAATAATGTGTAAATAATTGTACATTCAACGATGAGAATGTGAGGTTTAAGTGTCATTTAATGTGGGAAGTAGGGATTCACGATATTATCGGCATGGTATCGGCCGATATTAGCAATAAAGTTAAATATCGGACATTCCATCAAAATAACTCACCAATATAAAAGGGGCTGTTAATATATTGTATATCAGTGTGTGGGGCAGATCTATGGAATGGAATAAATGAGCAGTCAACCGCGGATAAACAAAACCTCACCCGCAGTCCATTCTACAAGCTTCGGTCAAAGCAAGGAAATACAGCCGCGACCAGCCGAGGGCAAAAGACATCACTCAGAAACTGATGGCATGTATTGCTCAGGATAACGAACCATTTTCATTCGTAGGATGTCGGATTCCAAAGACTTCTGGACTACGTTGAGCCTCGCTACATTGTCCCCAGTTGGAGATATTTTTCCGACGCAGCCTTCCCCGAGTTACAAGCCGTCATTTCCGACGTCATTGAGAAGCTAATAGCTGATAGCACTTGGTTGAGTTTGACCACAAACATTTGGACGTCAAGTGTTAGCCCCGTTAGCGTGATTAGTCTTACAGCACAATGGATAGACAAAAACTTTGAACTTAAAAAGGCTGTCCACAGCAGAGAAAGCTATTTAGTCTCTGTAAGTAGGTCCAGGGGAAAATATATTGGTATTGGCTAAATAAGCTTTAACATATTGGCATGTTGGATATCGGTAGGCCTGTCACGATAACAAATTTTGCTGGGCGATTAATTCTCTCAGAAATTATTGTGATAAACGATAATATTGTTTGAAATTTAGTAATTATTGTCAAATTCACGAAGAAATGTTGATTAATTTATTTTGTGTGTAGTACCTTTTTTTGACCACCGGATGGAAGTATAAGACTGTTTGAACCAAAGGATGGATAGAGAGGGAGCAAGCAGCATGTCTCTTTAAGAAAAGTGGGAGGTAGGCCCCTTGACGTGACATGTGTCTCTCTTTTTTTTTTTTTTACGGTTCTCAAAATGGCGAACGCTCGGTGTGGTTTGAACTCTTTAGCATAGCATTTTTCACACAAAGCTTATAATTATAAAAATTTTTTTTTTTAAATCAGTAAACAAGTTCTCAGCTTCTTTTTGCCGAGAAAAACAACTTTTTCAAGACACAGGTTTCAACTGTGAATTTTGGAGCTTCGACAAGACGGAGGTAAAATGGCATGTCAATTTGTCTTATTATTTTTATTTTGTTCTATCTTTTTTACTTTTTATTGTCTGTTCAAAATAAATAAAATACACACAAACAGACCTTTGGCATAAAACGTGGCTGACCAGACTTTTTAATTAACAAATATGTCCTTTAAGTATTCTCTTTTATAGTCTTTGCTGAGTGAAAACTCTGGCATAAATGGTAAAAGTTAAGGGTTCGTGGTGAGGCTGGGAGAAAGTGAGGACACAGCCAACAAGTGGTGATAACCATAGGTCAAAGTGCATGTAAATAAAGTGATGCTCCTTCTTATGGCAGGTCCTTTCAAGGTTCAAGATGTGTGCAAAAATGCTAGACAGAAATACATTAGGAACAAAGATTTAACCCGATCAAGAATCATCCGATTGTAGAAATCTGATATTTATACTTGATCAGGTGCGCGTTCAGAAAAGAGACTGACAAAATGAAGTACGGCTCCTGAGGACTAGCAGCGTGGAGTGTTAGGACTGTTGTCATGGAGACCGAGGCAGACAGAGACACAAACACAAAGCCGGTGAGTGCACAGAGGACACAGTCAGGCCCTACCCTGATAAATACTGCACACTCGTGCTAAACGCCTCTCTAAATGACACACAGCTCCGGCCGCCTTCTGATTCTCCGTTTGACGTGTCCCGGAGACATTTTTCCCCGAAACACATTTAATTCCAGGTTGGACTTTGCTCTAAGGGAGGCCTCAACGCAGTCCGGTGGAATTTGCCACGAGAGAGGCTTTGATGCACCGCAGCGTTCCTCCCTCTTTTTCTTCTTCTGTGGTTTCCACCTTCTCATCCAACAACAATCCCCCAAAAAGCAGAAAACCCGAGGCGGCACTGTGGCTCAGGTGCAACTCTCACACATTCTGGACCATCGACGCCAACTAACGGGCTTCTTTCCTGCCTGGATACGAATGCAATGACGCAGCTGATGAGTCCAAGTTAACCGTCTACCAGTGGTCACCCCTGCCATGTTTAAAAGAACACAAAAAATGAGACAACAACAAAAAAGTGCCTTATGGACAGGAAGTGGAACGACACAAAAACAGACTACCGTATTTTCCGCCATACACGTCGCACCGCCTTATAAGTCGCATCAGTCCAAATATGTCTAAAAAAAAGTGGAAAAACCCATAAATATGTCGCTTCGCCGTATACGTCGCGTCTATTATGGAGCATGCACGGGAGGACTTTAACAAGAATTTAACAAGATTAACACGTAAAAACAATTATTTGTTTGCTCGAAATTATAGGAAAGCTGTGTCTCGGTCTAACGTTTGCTTAATAAATGCACTTTGACAGACAAATCATCTGTATTTCAAAACCCGATTCGCGGAAGCGACGGGCACGCGCAGAGGGACTAGCCTCCGGATTTCTTTGAAATTTAACAAGATAACCACCTAAAACAATTATTTGTATGCTCAAAATTATAGCAAAGGTGCGTCTAAGTTGAACTTTTACTTAATAAATGCACTTTCATGGTCAAATTAGCTGCATTTTGCTGGGGCGGTGCAGTGAAATGAAGCTGATTTGACGGTTGCTCCAAGCAGCGAGCAGAACAAAGGTGGAATTTTATGGCAAGCCGATTGTGTCATTAATAGCTGGTGAAGATTCTCAGTCATCCAGGACGTTGTAAAGTCAAAATAGTTCAAGACAAAAGCAATAAAGTATAAAATAAAGTATAATAAATCAAGTCCAGTTGCTTTTGTCTTGAACTTTTTTGAATTTGTCATTATAGCCACTTTTACCTTTTACATGATACAACAGCGTGCCTTACTACTCTGCTGCCATCTAGTGGCTGAAAATGGTACTGTTCAATTTTTTTTTCCGTCGGAACGAATGAAATTTTTCGGCCTGTAAGTCGCAGGGCATGTAAATCATGCAAAATACCGCGACTTATACAGCGAAAAATATGGTATCCCTTAGCATGGACAAAAGAGTCGATGCTTAGTTGGAGGCTGCAACCTGCTGAACTCTGACCCTTGTCCATCAGAGGCTCTAAGGTGCAGAGAATCGGCACTGCCAGGTTTCTCAGAGTAATCCTCTCCGATGACCTCCAACACCAGCTCTCTTATCACGAGGGCACAAAGATGACTTCCCTGTCTGCAGAAACTAAAGCTTCCTCATATACATGTCAAAATGCTCAAAGTACTCACAGGACACTAAAAAGCATACATTTTGCAATTTATGTTGTACTTTTAACAACAATGTGAATGCTAGTTTGGAGAAAGGACAAAAGTGTGATCGTTTTGGTGGAGAAGGATTTCTAAACTGTTTCTAAGCTCTTACCTTTGCTATCAAGTTCTCTCTGTAGGTGAGCTTCTCAAAGACCTCCGTCTGCAGGCGCTCTGGGTTCAAACACACGCATATCATTAATCAGTAATCAGATAATCTGTGCTGCAACTGTTCGGTTCTGTCATGTCAAGTTATCCGAGGTTGTTCTGAAATGTTTCACGTTACACTCAGTCTAGTATTTTATCCTTTGTTCGATTACCTCTGCTGAGCGTGGCTCCGTTCTCTCTGTAGTCCTGAATCTCTGCATCCTTCCTGGAGAGCAGACCTCCCAGCTGCTCCACCTGCTGCTGCAGCAGGCGGCTTATCACCAGCAGAGGGCGCACGAGCTGAGCGCATGCCTGAGACGCACAGACACCGTTAGCAACGGCCTCGTTCGCTCGAACCCACCGCTACGCCGAGTGAGACGCACCAAAGCGACGGGGGCAGGTGTGCAGCGGAACTCCCAGTAGAACGGCAGACCTGCCAGCTCGCTCTTCAGCTTCACAGTGATGTTCCCGTTGTCCGGTCGGGTCAGGGAGATCTGAGCCTCGCCAGCAGCCAGGCCTCCTGACAGGCAGGGCTGCACCACCTCACACAGGTGGGAGAAGAAGGCTCCGACCGACGCTCGCAGACGCCGGTTCAACTCCTGGAGGAACACAGCGGGTCTGATCAGGATTAAATGACATATGAGAACCCCCCCCCCCCCACACACACACACACACACACTACAACACATGAGAGCTTTTTACTGCATACAGGCCACTTCTCAAAGGTTTTCATGTAAAGAGGAGCATAGTGTGCACACGACCTTAGTAAAAGTACACAGTACAGTGTGTACACAACTTTCGTAAAACTACACAGGTGAAAGTACACAGTATAGTGTGTACATGACCCTAGTAAAAATACACAGTATAGTGTGTACATGACCTTAGAAAAAGTACACAGTATAGTGTGTACAAGACCTTAGAAAAAGTACACAGTATAGTGGGTACAAGACCTTAGTAAAAGTACACAGTATAATATGAACATGACTTTAGAAAAATTATGCAGTATACTATGTATATGATTTTAGTAAAAGTAAACAGTATAGTATGTACAAGACCTTAGAAAAAGTACACAGTATAGTGTGTACAAGACCTTGGTAAAAGTACACAGTATAGTGAGTACAAGACCTTAGTAAAAATACACAGTATAGTGAGTACAAGACCTTAGTAAAAGTACACAGTATAGTGTGAACATGACCTAAGTAAAAGTATGCAGTATACTATGTATATGACTTTAGTAAAAGTGCACAGTATAGTGTACTAGACCTTAGTAAAAGTACACAGTAAAGTGTGTACTTGACCCTAGTAAAAATATACAGTATAGTGTGTACAAGACCTTAGAAAAAGTACACAGTATAGTGAGTACAAGACCTTAGTAAAAGTACACAGTATAGTGTGAACATGACCTTAGTAAAAGTACACAGTATACTATGTATATGACTTTAGTAAAAGTACACAGTATAGTGTACATTACCTTAATAAAAGTACACATTATAGTGTGTACACAGCCTTAGAATGACCCGGCCTTGTCAAGGTCAGTTTCATTAGCTTGTTGGTTTTGTCAGTTTCAAGTGATTTCAGGTACGTTTTCCTCTTTTTAACAACAAACTTAAGAGACAACTTGCTCCCTTACGAAAGGGAGCAAACACATTTGCTTGTGCCTGTGTCTTCGGAGTGTTGCAGGAACCTGCGCTCTGCTCTGGATGGCCGCTGCATTCATCCTCTCCTCCCATACACAGTGCATGTCTGTCAGCAACACGTGGTACGCTGCATCACCAAACCAGCTTTTCACGAGGAGCTGGCAGCCGCTGATGCTCACAGGATGCAAAGGCCGCCGGAGGAGAAGGTCTTCGGTAGGGTCGCCACCGGCCTCCATCACAGCAGCAAATGGAAAATTTCTGGAGGAAGAAGACACATCACCATGAACTTTTTGAGATGGTTCAACCCAGAGTTACACAACTTGTCACTGAGTCCAACGTTATAATAATGACAGGTTAAGATGCTTTAACTGTGGGACTGCTTACATGGTTGAGTGCACCATGTTCCACAAACACATCGGGTTATATCAAAATGAACATTGCATAAAAGTGCATTTAGATATACTCGTATTTTCCACTTGTGCTTACCTTCACACAAGGTTTCTGAGTATAGTATCAAACTAGAACGCACTGAAACTCTCGTAAATACATAAAAAAAATGACTGATTGGTTGTCAGAGCTCAGGAGGCATTTATACACCTGACACAACCCTCACGATTTACCAGGGCTTGGGACCTGCACAAGAGACCACCTAAAAACAATTATGTCTTTGCTCGACTTTATAGTAAAGACGTGTCTCAGTGTAACGTTTGCTTAATAAAAAGACTTTAACGGTCAAATATGTTGCATTTCAAACATATTCGATGCCTCGGTGCTCCGGGAGCAGGCAGAGGAAGGAAAAAGGAAGGAGGAACGTTGCGAGTTTCTTCGAAATTTAACAAGAAAAGCACCTAAAACAATTATTTGTTTGCTCGAAATTATGGCAAAGGTGTGTCTCCGTTGAACTTTTACTTAATAAATGCACTTTCATGGTCAAATTAGCTGCATTTTGTCAGGGCAGTGCAGATGGTTTGACAGATGTTCCAAGCAGCGAGCAGAACAAAGGTGGGGGGGGGGGGTACTGTGGCAAGCCAATTGTGTCATTAATAGCTGGTGAAGATTCTCAGTCATCCAAGACATGGTAAATTCAAAAAACTTCCAAGACAAAAACAATAAAGTATAAAGTATAATAAATAAAGTCCAGTTGTTTTGTCTTGAACTTTTTTGAATTTGTCATTATAGCCACATTTACCTATTACATGATACAACAGCATGCCTTACTGCTACTACTACTCTGCTGCCATCTAGTGGCTGAAAATGGTACTGTAAAAAAATTCAGTCAGAATTAATGAAAACGGTCATATCTCAGGCAAAAATTGGTTTATAAATGTGGGGAAAAAAATCCATAAATACGTCGCTTCGGCCTATAAGTCACAGGGCAAAAAAAAAGCGACTTATAGGCAGAAAAATTCAGTAATCAAATTTTGTGGAATATGTGCTTGGATGCTTTCAACAATCTGATTCCTTTCTTTCATAAAAGCGTCGTGAATTGGCAGCGTCTTTCCTGGGTTTTCAGTGTTTATTTGCTGCTTTTCCTGAAGCTCCTTCCGCCTGGAGGTCAGCTCCTCGTTTACGGCTCGCTCTTCATCAATCTTGACCACAGTAGCCGATCCATTTGCCTCAATCTCATATCGCAGCAGGTGGATCTCTTTAATGGACTGTCCCGTTCCGACACGTTCTGTCTCCAGGTCCAACTTCATTTCCCTGATCATTTTCTCGTGTTCCTCAAGAATCCTTTTATTATTCCTCACTTCAGTTTTGCCCGATTTTACAAATTAAAAAAAAAAAAACCTTAAGTTCCATTAGCACACTGACAGCCGCAAAACTGGTTGATCCACTCTGAGAAGGTGCTATTTATAAGACTGAGCTGAATACAGCGCCTCAGACTGAATAAGTCTTTCGGATGAAAAACGAAACGTTTCTACATTTTTTTTGTCGTTTTGCTTTGTTTTGTTTTTTGAATGTGCAGAGGACCAGAGTTAACATGTTTAGATTTTTTTTTCCTGGATTGAGCATGCATCAGGAGGTTTTGCTTTGTGTTAAATAAAAACTTTCAAAAGGTATAATCATTCCTCTCTTATTTTGCTTAATGTCATTTAACTCTGCATGTCATCCCTGAAGTTCCGATGCACAGAATCACAAGTCCAGGTGTGAACTGTGTCACAGAGTAAACACAATAAAAACATGCATTATCTGCAGCATTGCTCAGTAAATCCATCCATTATCTTTACCTGCTTCTTCCATTTTGGGTCACGGGGGTCGCCGGTGCCCATGTCCAGCAGTCACTGTGCGAGGGGCGGGGTACACCCTGGACGGGTCTCCAGTCCATCACATGGACACATAGAGACAAACGAGACAAACAACCATTCACTCTCTCACTCACACCTAGGGACAATTTAGTTACCAATCAGCCTAACATGCATGTTTTTGGTCTGTGGGAGGAAACCGGAGTACCCGGAGTAAGCCAAGCATGCACGGAGAGAACATGCAAACTCCACCCAGAAAGGCCCCCGAACTGGGATTTGAACCGGGGACCTGCTCGCTGAGAGGCAGCAGCTCTACCAGTTGCGCCACCGTGCTGCCACGGTTCAGTGTTCAGTAAAATTCAATTCAATTCAAATTCAATTCAAAAATACTTTATTAATCCCAAAAGGAAATTATTTGTTGTTGTAACTCGTTATCCTCATTTCATTAAGAAATGCTATAGATACTGATGGCTGTAGGCAAGAAGGATCTCTTGTAAAGGTCCATCCCACAGTGGATCCTAAGAAACTGGCTGCAGATACCGTCCAATCCGTCCACCCAGACTCGGCTGGCCTCTCGGTTCCCCCGGGCTGTAGGACCGCCCTAATGGTGGGCAGAACTCCTACCAGAGCGATGGCCACTCCTCCCAGCAGTCTGCCGAGCTCCTCGTTTCTGCGGACAGACAACTGTAGGTGCCGAGGGACGATCCTGTCCTTCCGCTGTCATGAGCCGTGTTTCCTGCTAGTTCCAGGATCTCAGTGGTCAGGTACTCCAGCAAAGCTGGCAGGTAGATGAGAATGCGTCCACAGAACATCCTTTTCAACTCAATTGAGATTTGGTGCTGTAGTTGAGATATTATTTGAGCTTTTGAGATGATAATCAGCTGCTGTTGGTTGTAGAAAACTGCCTCGTTGCCATGGTTACGCATCATAACAAATGTCCAAACCTAAAAAAGTTTCAGTAAAAATCCTTACAGCTGCACAGTGTCCGATACCAGAGGAAACATTCATCCAAAAAATGTGATTTACATCCAGAAAAAGAGGAATTAAAGTTTCCAAAAGCAAAATCTCAGAATGAAAGTAACAGAGCTGCTCCAACATGCAGCCACCTTGAGCGGCGCAATTCTAGAATATAATATAATATAATGGAACACTATTAATGTATTACAGAAAATATACGTACAGCAGGAATACTTAATGGTATTGTAGACCATGGCATTAGGTAATACATTCAGCAAGTACTTTTACTTTTAATACTTAAGTATTTTTAAAAGCAAGTACTTTTTGCTTAAGTAAAAACATTAATGTGGTACTTCAACTTTTACTAGAGTACATTTTTGTCTGTTTATTTGCACTTTTACTTAAGTACAGTGTTTGAGTACTTTCTCCACCACTGTCCCTGAGACTCAATGGGATTAACCTGAATAAATAAAAGGTTGAACGAATGAAAAATTGATTACGCTTTTGATGTCGTTCCGCCTGAATTCCAAGTGGATCTTTATTTGTTTTATATTAAACTAATCCCAGTAACGCTGTTCTGAGATCAGTCAGAGACGACGGTGAGGCGTTCACGGGCCGCCGGCCTGAACAGAGGAGGCAGACCGCAGGACGGCTCCCGATTTCGGATGAACAAACCCGGAATTTCTCGTCAGAAACACGGATTATGTTGTACTAGTTAACTCATACCGCAGTGGAAACATCAAACACAGCAAATCAGAGACTACATTATTATACAAACACTGAGCTAAACTGGTTACCTCAATTTAACCAACACACCGGATTAGGTTCAAAATCTCTCAACTTTTATATTTACATTTGTTTCAGTTTCGTAAAACCAAAGAAATTACGTTAATTTTAAATATTGCTACACCCATGTGTAGGTTTTTTTTTTTCATTCGGTAACTATTTCGCTCACATGTCAAGCAAATTTCTTGCAAAAAAATAAAAATCGTTTCAGTTTAAAATAGCAATCATACATACCTGCTGTTCGAGAAGTGGGAGCTAAAGTGGCTTTACGTTAGTCATTGTTGTTTAAAAAAAATAACCCAAATTTTTTTTTATTACAATGACTCATAAAAGGTCAACAGCGAAGTATGTATGTGTAAAAACAAAGTATTTAAAATACTAAAGTGTGCAACGAGCTTCATATGGAATTTTGCTCCATAGTTTTCGCTTGAAAAAAAATATTCCGGCACCGATGTGAAACACGAACGCACGCAAAAGGTTCCGCCTTACAAACGTCATACACAACATGTCACGTGATACATCGGTGTTTGGTTTAGAACCAATATTTGGAATAATTTCTGCTAGTTTCAGCTTTTTCTGCTATTTTAACTACTATGTAGCTGTTTTTGAATGCTCATTTGAGCTTTTTCAGCTAATTCCACATTTTGCACTCATTTAAACTTTTTTCTGCCTTTTTAGCTTCTTTTCAGCTGTTGTTTGTTTGTTTTGCTAATTTCAGCTTCTTTCAAATAATTTCCACTTGTGCTCATTTCTGCTTCCTTCAGCCTAACTGAGCAAGTGTGTTATTTCTGTTTTCTTCTGCTAATTTAAGCTTGTTCTACATTTCCAGCTACCATTTTGGCATTTTTAGCTAATTTCAGCTGTTTTCAGATAAATTCTACTTTTTGTGTTAATTTCTGCTACTTTCAGCCTAACTGACTTATTTCTACTTATTTCAGATTGTTCTGCTAATTTCAGCTTTTTCTACCAGTTTCATTATTGTCTGCTATTTCAGCTGCTATTTAGCTGTTTTATGCTAATTTTAGCTTTTTCAGCTAATTCCACTTTTTTTTAAGCTCATTTCAGCTCTTTATGCTTCTTTCTGGTTGTTTAAGCATTTTTCTGCCTTTTCAGCTACTTTTCAGCTGGTTTTTTTCACTGTTGTTGCTAATTTCTGCTTTTTTAGTCCTAATTTTTGTGCTAATTTCTGCTTATTTAGTCCTAATTCTATTGGTTCTTTCTGCTTTCCTTTGCTAATTTAGGCCTATTCTTCCATTTCGGGTACAATTCACCATGTTTTTAGCTAATTTTAGCTGTTTTTCTGCAAATTCTTCAGCAATAAGCATTCACACTGCATTTTCGCAGGAAATGCAATTTCTTTAGTGAAAATCTGGAGTGCTCCGCTATGAGTTCTCCTAATCTTCATGTGTTTCAAAGTAAATAGCAAGATTTCACAAAAGTACAGTGAACATATTGCATTCTATCCTAATGTGGGATGTATTTTCCAGGCAGCGCCTGAAGCGAGAAGGGGTTCTCTGCAGGCCAAAAGTGGGTGTTTCTGGCTAATAGGCGTTTGTCGGGGGCAAACACTAATTGACTAACAGTATTTGCTGCTCTTTAGTTAAGTTAGTCAACTCTTTTTTAAAACAAAAGGTTTCTAAGAACCAGCATTAAATCTACTGTCAAACACAAGAAGATTCTCTTTTGTTCTTGGTTGTAGGCTGCACCTGACACAGGTTGCCTTGAGTGTGGTCTGGGTACAATGAAATATGAAGCATCTGAAGCGAAACCTGTTCCCATTTGTCAAAAAGTCTGGTCTCAATTAAAGATCATGAGTCTTATGACGAGATAATGGCCCAAAACAAATGCTAAAAACAAAATGTTCTCTTTAGAAGTGTCTTCTATGAGATCAGATCTATGAAAGGAGCTGAAACATGGAGTAGGGTTGACCCTTAAAATGTGAGACAGCTGAGGAAGTTAACCAGTAAACAGAAATACCTGCTCCAGTTGCTGAAATCTTACAGAAACTGACAATCACTCACACTCATCTGCAGTGACTGCAGGTTGAACAAGACAATGTGAAGAAAGGCAACATCCTTTGTCCTAAGGCCAGTTTAGGAATCATTATTATTTTCTTTCTTTATGAATCGATTGTAACTATTTTTATATTTTTCAACAACCAAAATGGATTTTGTTTTTTAATGTTACAGCCAGGTATTTAAAAAAAAAAAAACATTTAGCGCTCCCCACTACCCAGTTATGTTGCTCTTATTTTGAAATGTAACCGGAAGTTCTGTGTTAGGAGTGGCGGAAAAAGAAGTTACGGAGACGCCGCTAATGTCGAACCGGTTAACACCATAGACATAATATGCCTGTGGTTAACACAATCTGCCAATAACGCCTTGTTTTTAGACATAATCAGAGCCCTATAAAGATATGTATAGGGCTCTCGACATAATGTGTCTGTGGGTAACACAAACGGCTTTTTATCGTTCAGCCTTTTTTTCTATCGTCCAATCAGATGTGGCCGGCCAGACACGCCTATTTTTCTATCGTCCAATCAGATGTGACCATCAGACACACCTATTTTCCTATAGTCCAATCAGATATGACCTCCCAGGATACACCTGGTCCAATCAGATGTGGCTCCCCAGATACGCCTTCGGAATTTGTCTGCAGAGATACCCAAAGAAATCATCTACTGTAATCACTAGATACAGCAATGACCGATGTCGCCTATTGGCGCTGACGAGCTGTAGGGCCGCCATCTTGGAACGGTCGACCGCTCCACTCAGTGTAACCTGTTTGACGGGAGCAATGAAGTATTTGCGCGTTTAATCAGTCATAGCTGAATACTAAACTCATTCTCACGATTTTTTCCTCTGTAAATCTTAGGAGTACAGCCATTAAAGCTGAACACATGGTTCAGTGTATTTAAATATTCTTGGTGGGGTTAACATTAACACTTATAAAATATTCTTATGACACGTTTGCAAAACACACAGTCACTGATATATTTACACACATTATAATTTCATTATCTTATCTTATCTATCTATGTGTGTGTATATATATATATATATATATATATATATATATATATATATATATATATATATCATCTCTATTATTTTTACTGTAGTTTATCATTGTCATTGTTTACTGTTATTCTTGTCTGTACTTTATCAGAGTCAGAGAGTCAGAGATTCTTTATTGTCATTCGCACCTCATGTGGTACATGTGGTGGAGCGAAATTATGTACACAGGGTCCCAGTTACATCCAACAATAAAATGTATAAGAAAAACAGTAATAACATCTAATATATGAACTAAGAAAAACATCAACTAAATATACACTAAGCACTCATAACATAAAAACATTGAACATCAAGCACAAACATGAACATGAGTCTGTGTGAGCGGATGTCAAGTCAAGTCAAGTCATATTTATTTATAGAGCACAATTTAAAACAGATAGACTGTTATCAAAGTGCTTGATGTGCAGGATGTGCACGCATGAACACATCAACATGAAACAGATCAGCAGCAACATGAAACAGATCTGCAGCAACATGATGTGGTTTTTCAGTGATTATTCTAGTTAGAGATTCATGAGTCTAACAGCCTCAGGGTAGAAGCTGTTCCTCAGTCTAGTGGTTCTACACTTAATGCTCCTCAACCTCCTTCCTGAGGGGAGTGGGGCAAAAAGTGTGTGTGCTGGGTGAGTGGGGTCCTTCATGATACAGGTGGCCCTCTTCCTGCATCTGGAGGTGTAGATGTCTGTGATGGTGGGGAGGCTGATTCCAACAGATTTCTGTGCAACCTTCACCACTCTCTGCAAAGCTTTCCTTTCTGCAGCTGTGCAGCCTCCATGCCACACATTGATGCTGGAGCACAGGATGCTCTCCACTGCACACCTGTAGAAGGAGGTGAGGACTGAGCTTCCCAGACCAGCTCGCCTCAGCTGTCTGAGGACGTAGAGTCTCTGGTGAGCTTTCTTGATCAGGCTGGTGGTGTTGTTGCTCCAGCTGAGGTTGTCATTCATGTGTACACCCAAGTACTTGTAGCTGGAGACCACTTCCATCGCAGATCCTCTTATGTTCAGGGGGGTGTAGATGTTTTTGTTCCTTCTGAAGTCCACAATCATCTCCTTTGTCTTATTCACATTGATGTGAAGGTTATTCTCTTTGCACCAGCTCTCCAGGTGTTCCACCTCTTGCCTGTAGCTGGACTCATCATTGTTTGTGATGCATCCCACCACCGCTGTATCATCTGCAAACTTTACAATGTGACAGCCTGGATGGGTAGCTGCACAATCATACGTGAGCAGAGTAAACAGGAGGGGGCTCAACACACATCCCTGAGGAGAGCCAGTGCTGAGGGTTATGGTGGAGGAGGAGAAGTTGTGGATCCTCACTAACTGTGGTCTGTTTGTTAAGAAGTCTAGGACCCAGTTGCAAATGGAGGGGCTTAGTTCTAGTGTGGATAGTTTGTCCATCAGGGTTTGGGGGATCATGGCGTTGAAGTCGGATGTGAAGTCCACAAAGAGCATACGGACGTAAGAGTTTTTCTGCTCCAGGTGGTTGAGCGCAGTGTGGACCACAGAGGAGATGGCATCCTCTGTTGATCGGTTCTCACGGATTGCATACTGATGAGGGTCCTCGTTGATGTTGATGGTTGTTTTGATGTGAGTCATGACCAGTTTTTCGAAGAATTTAGCGACTATCGGGGTGAGGGCTACTGGCTGATAGTCATTCAGACCAGTCACTGTAGAGCTTTTTGGGACTGGGATGATGGTGGCAGTCTTCAGGCAGGTGGGAACTGTCCCCAGGGTAAGTAAGGTGTTAAAGATGTCTGCCAGCACCTCACAGAGCTGATCAGCACATTCCTTCAACACTTTTCCGGGAAAGTTGTCTGGGCCAGTTGCTTTGTGAGGATTACATCTACACCTCCAGATGCAGGAAGAGGGCCACCTGCATCATGAAGGACCCCACTCACCCAGCACACACACTTTTTGCCCCACTCCCCTCAGGAAGGAGGTTAAGGAGCATTAAGTGTAGAACCACTAGACTGAGGAACAGCTTCTACCCTGAGGCTGTTAGACTCATGGATCTCTAACCAGAATAATCACTGTGAAAAACAATATCATGTTGCTTCTGATCTGTTTCATGTTGCTGCTGATCTGTTTCAATGTTGATGTGTTCATGCGTGCACATCCGCTCACACAGACTCATGTTCATGTTTGTGCTGATGTTCAATGTTTTATGTTATGAGTGCTTAGTGTATATTTAGTTGATGTTTTTCTTAGTTCATATTTTAGATGTTATTACTGTTTTTCTTATACATTTTATTGTTGGATGTAACTGGGACCCCGTGTACATAATTTCGCTCCACCACATGTACCACATGAGGTGCGAATGACAATAAAGAAACTCTGACTCTCTCTCT